CCAAAAAAGAACCTTAAAAAAAAAAAAAAAAAATAACAGTGTTCTCTTTCAAACTGGATGCATGCTAGTATACACCGCTGAAAGTTTGTTCTGTACATGGACAGAATGTTCAGTCACACAGCGAGGGCAGATAAAGTTAACATCCTCAAGCCAACCACCAATACAACACCTGGAATACTTTTCACTGTCGAACTGTCTGGGGTTTGTAGACACAAAATCAGATAAGTGTTGGAACATGTGTACTCATAAAAGCACACGATGTGATGATACAAGCACATGATCTTGCTAGATGAGTTGGCACTGATGCTTTCAGAAGTTCATGGGAGTGTGCAAAACTTTCTTCTTTTATGAGGACTCGTTGTGTTACATTATTACCATTGGAGGAGGTTCACCATCTGGCTAACACTCATCAGAACAATAGCACCACCCTGTGGCTCTAATAATGAATTGAGATCAATGAAAAATGCTCTGATTATTCCATACATTATTTGGTTTTAGGGCCTTTAAGTTTAATTTGAAGGACCACAGGAGTTCACATCAGAGAGAGAGAGAGACCATATAATGAACCAGACCACTAACGAACAGGAGATATCGGAACTCTGAACACGAGAGCTGAAAGGAAGTCCTGTATTTCAAATGAAATAACTGAAAACCCTTATTCTAAAATGTGCATTAGCCACATTAACCAACCTGATCAAATAAAAAAAAAAATACATATTTTAGCCTGATTTTAGCTAAAGAAACTCATTTTAAGCTATTGTTAGTCTGAGATTTTATTGGTGACTTGATACGTTACCAAAATCTGATCCGGTAACATAGGAGCTGTACTTGCATAGCTAGAACATAGCATAGGAATGTTACTATGCTGACCAATGAATTAACTGATTTTAAAAGGACTTAATCCACAGCATTTCATAGCATCTTAAACATTAGTTTAGTGGAAAACTGTGAAATTAGCAACTCGTCCCACTGTAAATCCAATGATTCACATAGTTGAATTAATATGGATTATTATTATATCAGAAACCCCCTGAGAATTGTAGGGCTGTTAATCTAATGCTGATATGCTGTAATCCTATGGAAACCCACCTTGAGCAATGCGTATCATCTCGCTGTAGACCACAGAGGGGATGACAGGCTGAGCTAGATCTTGAAGATACCTCCTCAGACCATCACACAACATCTGAAGGTCCATCTGCTCAAGATCCACCGAGGCAGGGTCTAATTCAAAGAACACAAACATCAGTGAGCCAGAAAGAAATGAAGCTAGCACCAGGCACAGAGAGACAAGTCCTTAAACTTTTCGATCTATCGATTTTCACCTTAACCAGCTTTAGCTACGATTTCTATTTGTAGTATGTTGAAAATATGAGTGGTGCTCAATGTAACAATGCTAGCTTGTTCTGGGTGGTTGCCAGGACGTGGATGTGGTATCTAAGGGTGCTTTCACACCTGGCTCGTTGTTTCGGAACCTGGCGCGTTTCCCCCCTTAGCTCGGTTCGTTTGGGCACAGATCTTTTGAAAATACACAATACAGAAGTATTGTGATGTGCATCCGAGTGAAATGGATTATCAAAAAAAAAAGCAGGGTGGGTACTAGGGGTGGAACGGTTCAACTTACTCACGGTTCGGTTTGTATCAAGGTTTTAGAGTCACGGTTTCGGTATGGTTCAGTATGTGCTATGTTTAGGCAAAAACTATACTGTCAAATAAAAATAAAGAAAATAAGAATAATCTATCTAACTACAAGCAACAGCACAAATACATACAATAGAGTAAAGTTAAAAGTTAGAGGTTTTTTTTTTTAGGTAGGTCTGACATTAGTTTTCAGGTACAGAAATTGAATAAAGTAATGAAATGTAAAACAGCATTGCATATTTGACTGTATAAATTAAATATTAATCTTTCTTAGTTACAAAAGCTATTCAATCAAGAGCAGTGAGTGATTTCTTTGTTGTTGCTGTTTGATTAATATTAAGAAAGTGCTGTCACTTTAAGAGAATGCACTGATACAGTATGTTCAGCCGACTATGTCTGCTATAGGATACTTACCAAGACAGGCATTTTGACAATTTTTGTGTGAATTTGTCAATTTAAACACGATACTTCAGAGAAAGCTTAATGTTCCACCCCTAGTAATTACGTAAGTTCCGTTAAAAGCATTAGCTTTGTTGTTTTGCTAATACTTCAAAATGAACCTGTGAATGTCTGTGGGTGAGCACGTCTTGGACATTTAAAATAAAAAAGCGCACTTTTTCATTTTATAATGCCGTCTTATTGCTCTTCTTCCTAGCAGGTGCATTTTAAAAATGTTTTCCCGATGAATCCTGGACTCCTGCTCAAAATGATAAATTAATACAAGGACTGACTTGTATTAACAAATTTGGTCCGTTTAGAAACTTTGCCGTGTGAAAGCGAACCGCACCAAGAATAAAAAGCAACATTGTAATAATTTTAATCCCTGTTTCGGAACAAAGCAATCGATCTACAGGTGTGAAATCACCCTAAAGGTATTCGGAGTAGCTGTATGTGGTTGCTAGGGTGTCCTGGGTCAAAATCCATTGCCAAGTCTGTGACAATCTGATCTTCAGATATGTTCAGAGCGCCTTCAGTGTAAAGGTCCTTGCACACCCAGTCCGAAATTTTCAGTTTTTTTTTTTTCCGTATTCGTCATCCTTTCCTATAAAAATGCTTGCTACGGATGCGAAAACGCAGAAAATCGAACCTAGATAGGGCTGAACGATTAATTGCATTTGCGATAATATCGTGATATGAAAAAACGCGATTTTTCAATCGCAGAGGCTGCGTTTACACTTGGTCACGTGACACGCGAGAGTAAAGAGGTGTTTTCGACTTGAAGATCGATCAGTGTATGACATCAAAGTATGGCGAGAGAAAGCATAAGGAGACGTCCGCACTCTCTTATAGCTCTCGCAGTACTTTCATGACACACACACCCATCGCGGGCCATCAGCAGAAAAAGAAAATAAATAAAACAGTTAACAGACAAAGGACGTAACTCAGAATTGAAGATGGATTGGTTTGTGAAAGGGAAGAGAAAAGCCATAGATGAAGTGGCACAGACCCAGGCAGGTGCTGGTCATTCAAAAGCTAAATGCAGAAAATATGACGAGGCATATCTTGCTCTGGGCTTCACTCAACGTGTCTATACCGGACGCTACAGTTGTCGCTTCGCGCCGCAACAGCTCTACTGTACACTGGACGCGACAAAGCGACCGTTGCAAATCATTTGAACTTTGTGTCAGTACGTCATAAATAGAACAAGGCATCAGTTTAATGTCGGGTTTTGTCGTGTCGCGTTGTTGAATAATACAGAACATAAAGAGCTTTAAAAAATAATTGCATATTAAATCGCAATCGCAATATTGGTAAAACAAATCGCAATTAGATTATTTTCCAAAATCGTTCAGCCCTAAACCTGGAGTGATTTTTTTACAACGGACGAAAGTTTCGGAGGCAGTGTGTAAACGTGATTGACACAACGTGAGATCTCGAATGTAGTGCTCGAGGTATTTATTTTTTAACGTGCGAAAATTTCGGACTCAGTGTGCAAAGACCTTAAGTCTATGGAATTTTACCCGTTTAAACATTTGCTGGTGAAAATTGTAAATCTGAGACTGCTTAGACAACTGACAGAACACCTTTTCTCAAGAAACCACATGTCTGTAGCACCAATTGTGCGAGAGGAGTTGTACATTTTATTACATCAGGTTGAAGTTTTTGAAAAAGTAGCAATAGTAATATCCAACTGTGCTGGTTAAGGCAGTGTTTCACGTTCAGCATGGACAAAAAGCTTTTGTTGCATCGCACCATTTTAAGATAGCTAACAGTAGCAACACCTAATGGAATGCGTCACTCACCACTATCAAAGCACTGTCTGACATCCAGCCCTCCTCCAGCAGTGAAGTTTCTGTAGAGTGTAGGGTTGTCTAGACCTGTACAGTGTTTATATGCGAATTAATACATGTAGAAAATGCAATAATTACGGTGTGCACGTACATGTGACAAAGAAATATGCCTGATGGATTCTATTCACCTTTCCGCTCGATGGCCTCAAGGAGCTTGAGAAGCATGGGCGGTGCTACCTCTGGAGGTGTGAACTGCTCCGTCAGGTCAACCAGAGCGCTCGAGCCTAGAGGAGAGAAAGTTGAACGCTCACATCAAAAAGCCGCCAGGTACCTTTGAACAACTACTAGCTTTTCATTAAGCACCAAATGCCATCATTTCAAAGCCTCCAAGGAAAACAAGAATTTTACACCATGACCCACTCCACAGTCACGGCACGCTTAGATCAATAATGGTCCTCATGTATATATGTGGTGCAGCAAGAAGCACATTTGGACGGCACATCTAAGCGTGGCGGGGGGGTTAGGGCTGGCGCTGACCGGTAGGATATGATTAAGTGTGCAGTGAAGGTGGACAAGAAGGCTAAAGCAAACAGACCGCACGCAATATGCAGCCGCTGGTGTAGGGTGGAGGGTTACTGAGATCTACAAGTCCAGGTGCGGGCATGAAAGGGCTGCGGGACTGGCTTGAGCTTTATTTGGATTCGCTGCACAGCATTTTAAAAGGCTAGGATTTCTAAAAGACTTGACTGTTACCAGAATCCGAGGCTGCAGATCCAAACACAGCAGATTATGAATGGATTCACTTTACAGAGTCTTTTTACAGAGGTATGAAGAGTATCTTTGCAGTTTCTTAAAAGGAATTGCTCAAATTAAAAGTTTGGAGGCTGCCTAAATGAAAAAAAACAAAAAACAACCACACATGAGGAAATGGGGGTTTAAGCCATTAGAAATAATAGTCTTGTTTAGTCCCAAGGCTCTGGGACTTTTTTTGCTAGCCTGGGAGATAAGCAAGGAAAATTGTAGATATCACACCGCTTCTCTTGAACTTCACTTTGAAAGACAACAGCCATCTGGAGTCCATTACTGCCAAGGCAACATCGAGGATAAGGAGAGTTATTAATTTTCTGAGAACTGCTGAACTCGAGGCAGGGAGAGTGAATGACCGATTCCTTGTATAGAAATTTGGAGCGTAGTGTCACTTTGGTACGCCGCACTGAGTGGTAACCTTGTGCCCAGACGGACACCTTATCCAGCCCTCTGCTTCTTAGAATCCAGATTCAAAGTGCTGGGCTAATTTTACCTTAGCTCACAATGTTCTGGTCAAAGGCGACAAATATGGTCTTTGAATTTAACAGATCCCTACATTTCCTACGTATGCTTGGTGAAATATCTAAAATCACTATGTTGTTGTGAGATTGAAACCGGCTCAGTGAATAACACTATGGTGGTCTGGAATCTCAAAATAAATGTCATAACACACACCCCATTTCAGGGTAAAACTGTATATTCCAAGAGTCTTGTGTTTATTTACATGTGTTGGACGGGCATTTCCACGTAGACGCAAGACTGAGAGGGGAGGGGGGATTGAGTTGCTTCTAAGTAACTCAGGGTGACCTGATAGCACTGGCCTTCTACATGGCTAGATCAAATGACATTCAGGATTGATGATAGTAGAATAGTCCAAATGTTTTGGTTCAAGCTTCCACTATGTCCTCGAGACACCTTCTTGGAATAACTAAAGAGGAACTAGACTTTGGTTCTTAGGTTTTGACCATGCAAAACACATTGCAACGGGTGGTTTCTCACAGGGTCTGGGTCTGTTCTTCATTGTACTTCAATGGAATTTTTTGGCTATTTATTGTTCATTGAAAACTAAGTCTGACCACTCTCCAAAACAAGATACATGGCATGTTACATGCCAAGTATAAGCAAGCGTCACTAAGAACTGGGCAGTCAAGCAAGATTGGATGCACTGCGCCGTGAACTCACGCAATATTATACTCACGCCAAGCTCGTCAACCCACTGCGAGTAGCAATAGTGGGAACATAGTGAGTGAGTGTTCCTGTGAACAATGCTTTAGAAAGATCCAGATGAAAACATCTTCGGTTTTCAACTACTAGGCTTAATTTATCCAAGCTGTGCAGTTGAGTTCACACAATCAACCGGGCAATGGAAACAATTAAAGATGCACTCACGGTGAAGTCCAAGTGCTGTAAGACTTTATGGGTAAAGGGTAAACATTAGCAACATTTGTGCATGAAAAGCAGTTTAAAATGCCTCTAGTTCTCTGCAAGCAAATTAAACCAACAGAAAACAGGCAGAAAGCAGCCCAGCTCAGATTCAGACAGCCAATCAAAGTGGGCTGCAGATTCCGGTTGCCGTAGCAACTCCTGGAAGAGGGAGTCAGTGTGCAAGTCTGAACATGCGTAGTGTCTGAATGCGTGGCGGTCCTGTTGTTACTATGCCATGGGATGCAAGGAAAGGGACCCCAGGTTAAGGAAGGGAAAGCAGCTGCCTGGGTTTGTAGAACAAACTCAGCACATCTGAACCACAGACTAAGATCAGAGAAAATACACATGGTGCTAAAGACAGTTTCCTCCGCAGCAGTGCTAATTTTGACAGCAAATTGATTTAGTTTTAGTCAGTCTTTTCACTAAAATGCCATTTAGTTTTAGTCATATTTTAGTCATCTGAATTGTTTTTAGTTTTAGTCTAGTTTTAGTCGACTAAATCTACAGTAAATTTAGTCGGCTAAAATCTAATTGGTTCAGTTACAGTGCATTTATTATTAATTTCTCTAAAATTTCCAAACTCATTATATAGGTTTGATATTAAGGTTTTATCATGATAGACACGGATTTAACTGCGGTGACTCACAACTAGGGATATACCGGTATCAAATTTTCATGTTGCGATTAATTGCTAATGCTTTTATCACGGTATGCGGTATTATCACGATATTGAAATTTAGTTTTAAAAAGTGCTGTCATAATACAGTATAACAGGTTTAATAACATTTTTCTTATAACAAAAATAACTGAACATTAAATGCAATAAAGCAATACAGAAAAATGTATAAAGTTAAAAGTTTTACACAGATTAAAGTGCAAAAGAACTATAAAGACCAATAGATATCACTTTACAATAAGACCTCATTAGTTAACCTTAGTTAATGCATTAACATTCACAATGAGCAATAGCTACATTTGCTAGAGAAGTTATTAATCTTTGTTAAAAAAAAGCCTTAGTTCATGTTTGCTCATTAAATAACACAGTTGCAACTTTCGATTTTAACAACATCTTATTAAATATTGAAATTACCTAAGATTAATGAATGTTCAGAAGAATTTTTCATTGGCAGTTTGTGTTAACTAATGAATTAACTAATCGCTTTCATCCAGAGCGTCTCTCACATGTTCCGCCATGTGCTTCTCTTGTTTACGTCAGAGTGCGCACGCGTCTTTCACGCAGCATAAAGCGGTGTTGTGCATTTTGACCAGTTGATGGGAAAAGTATTCTTAAAATGCATTCAAAATTCGGAATAATTTGTAATATATAATTATTCACGGTATTTAGACGTGCCCACGATAACAATATCGTGCATAATAATTACCGTGATATATTGCATTACCGCATACCGACACAAGTCTACTCACAACATGCCTTTATGTTAAAATTAAATAAAACCACTTCTCATAAAGAACAAGAACATGGTCTTTTTAATTAAATACCAATGGTCATATAGGTTAATTATGCATTTTTATAGCAACTTGTTTACCATATTCTTCATTCTTTCAAGCAGACATATTTATTTTTATAAATAAATTTAGATTAATCTTTAGGGCTACTAAAGTTTTTCAGTCAAGAGCAGTGCGTGATTTCTGTCTTTCTTTTGTTGCTTGATTAACATCAATGACTCGGACAATAACAACTAAATTAGGCTGCTATCCCTTTAAAACCGAATGCGAAAAAACGAAATCAACTGTTTACGTGAATACTCGTCAAAACGCACAATTCAACATCATTTTGTGTGTAATTCTCCATTCATGCGACGCAAGAGAGTACTTGCAACTTGTTTACCATATTCTTCATTCTTTCAAGCAGACATATTTATTTTTATAAATAAATTTAGCGTAATCTTTAGGGCTAGTAAAGTTTTTCAGTCAAGAGCAGTGTGTGATTTTCTGCCTTTTGTTGCTTGATTAACATCAATGACTCGGACAATAGCAACTAAATTAGGCTGCTATCCCTTTAAAACCGAATGCACAGCTGGATGCAATGTACTGATACACGTTCTGCCTACTGTTTACATTCACTTAAGACAATCAACTGTGTTTACGTGAATACTCGTCAAAACAGACAATTCGACATCATTTTGCGTGCAATTTTCCGTTCAAGTGACGTGAAAGAGAACTTGCGCGCTGTGAGACGCGCTTTCTGTGTGTGTATGCTTCAGTGTCTGCGCTCAGAAAACCGGACCGAATGGAGTTCTCTCTTGCGTCGCCAGATTTATCCATATGTCTGCTCTACTCCCACATATTGACATTTTTGAACGTTTTATGCGACGTGCAGCAAGTGTATGTTAGCTTATGTCCCGCCGGTTCATATGTATGCATCTAACCTCCGAACCATGCAGCAGATTTGTTCTGAATGAATCGCTTCCCAAATCGTCCCTCCCTAACATTTCCGTCTCGTTTTTATTCGTTGACGAAAATGTCAATAGATTTACGTCATAGTTTTTGTAGTTCAAAAAGAGTTTCAGTTCGTTATAGTCTCGTTTTCGGTGAAAAAAAAAATGAAATTAACACTGCTCAGCAGCTAATTTTAGGGGTCTACTCGTGTACCTAGTGTTTCCATTACTGACTAGTTCTTCTTCGAAATGTCATTCTAGCAAACCACTAAATGATCATCACATTTCCCCCAGGGATCAATAAGGGATGTTTAAGGGCCTTAACCTGCTTTTGAGGAACAAAGTTGTCAAGGTGTTACCATTACAGTCATCAGTTGCTCTGGGTACTGTGAATACTTGTGCTGTGTATAGGGCCTTTCGCACTGCGGGAACCTTTTCATAGTACCAGAACTAATTGTGGAACTACCCACTTTTTGGCGTTTTCGCACCTCCGGAACTGGGTGCGATTTTAGTACCGGACTGCCTTTTTCGAGAACCAAATTAGCTCCTACTCCGGAGCAGGGTCTAACCAGCACAACTGGTACTACCCGTGACGTAAGTAGACATTGATTGGCCAAACGCGTACGAAAACGGCGTGTAAACATACTGTAAAC